ATGAGTTAAATACCTCTCCCACCCCCTCTGTATAGCCTCTATTTTCTTTCTCCAACGCTAACTGCTTCACTTGAATGTTGGAGAAAAGGAGCACATGTCTCACTGAGAGAAATGGCAGGGGGTGGGGAAAAAAAAAAAAGAAAAGCCACCATTCTGGGTGTGTGTTAACATGAAAATTCAGGGCCTGTTCCCAGGAGGTTACGTGTGTGCTAAGAGCCAGGCCTGCCTCCCAGCTACTCTGCAGGTTATGGCAGGAGGATTGCTTGAGTCCAGGCCAGCCCGGGCAACATGGTAAGACTCTGCTAAAATAAAGCTAGCTGGGCATTGTGGTAAGCACCCACAGTCCCAGCATCTAGAGGGTTGAGGCGGGAGGATCTCAAGTTCAAGGCCAGCCTGGATTACATAGACCCTGTCTCAAAAAAAAAAAAGTGACCGAATGGATGAGTCTAGATAAGTATGCCAATTCCTTTGAGTCAATGTCACCTTAAAGATATAACTGTTGCCAGAGGAGCCCTGTTCAATGTATAAAAATAGCCTTAGGCTAGGGATACAACTCAGTGGCCAAGCAGATACTTACCGTGCCCAAGGTCCTGGGCTCCATCCCCAGCTACTAGGGCTGCTGTGGTTGGAGGATTACTTGAACCCAGGATTTCGAGAACAGCCTGGGTAATGTAGAGCAATACCCTGTCTCAACAACAACTAAGCAGGCCTTCCTGGTGCTCTGCACTGGCCAGAGCATAAGTTGTTTCAGTGTCTAGGAGAGCCCCAACTCAGAAATGGGGCTGGGATGGCGCTTTTCCATCAGTACTCTCTGCTCACATTGGGCCTTAGGAAGAAGCCCCTCCTTGAGTTTCAGGGGGACCTACAGTGTCCAAGTTTAAAGAGGCCTTTGTCATCTGGGTAGCAACTGAGGGAGCCAGACAGGTGCAGGTATGAAAGAAGAATGACACCAAAGACAATTGTGATGGTGGTGTCCAGACCATGCTGTACCTTTCTACACGCTGCATACTTCATCCCCACCCCAAAGCCTGAGAGTTGGTGCTAGGACTGTGCTCATTAGTAAGAAGGAGAAGTTCCTGGGTGAAGGAGGTAGCTGAGGTCACCACACAACTAGCAAGTAGCAGAGATTTGAGCCCAACACTGGCTGTCCTCACCCAGAGGCAAATGTATCCCCCCAGATGGAGGGACCAATGTAGGGGGACAGCACTTGAGGGGGTGTTGGGGAAGTAGGAGTCCTTGGATAGACACTGATGGGGTGCTGGGCTGGAGGGATCACACCCAGCTTCCCCAATCAGCCAGGTCCCCATTGTCCAGCTCGAGCCCTGTGATCTGTTTCTCTGGCTTTGATGGTCGCTGTGCCTCTGTTCTTAGTCATCACAGAGCAGATGCAGAGAAAGCTGAATGGCCTGATGGGAGCCTGTCAGGACATAGCCTGAAGGCCTTTTCAATCCCATTAGCCTCTGGCATCACTAGAGGGAGATGCTAGCCCTGCCCTCCCCTGCTCCTTCCTGTGGCTCCCTGGGACGCAGTGATTCAGCAGCAAGTCGGAAGTAGGCTAGACTTATGACCCACAGGGAGAGGAGTCACCAGCAGGGTGGGGGCTGTCAGCACCAGCTCAGAGTGAGAATTGGAGCAAGGAGGAGAAGTGGGGAGGCGGTCTTGACTCTGTTGGGGAATTGGACCTCACCAAAGGGTCTTGCTGTCCTGCCTGAGCCAGGACTGGTCACAGGGCCCGTGGGAAGTGGGCAGACCTGGCATGTGGGGGATGGGGGAGTCCCAGCCACTGGATACCCAAGCTGCTTCTCCGCATATTCATTTCAGCAGCTAAAAATATGAAATGGGTGTGCTAAAAGGTGCCCAACCGGAAATCTCTAAGATGTTTCCTATTAGGGCAGCGTCTGCTTGGGCTGGAGGCCAGGTGCTGTGTGAGGGATTCCTCTGCATACTACCCACCGTCCTATCACAGCCTGTCCTCCCTCCCCTAGTGCCAGGACTCAGTGTCTATCCCTTACCCGAAAGAGCCCCCCCAGGGCTCTGCTTTCTACTCTTGCACCCACTGCTGGGGGAGGGGGTTGCCCAACCCCAGCCTCACTCACTCCCTGGGTGACTTACAACAAGCTAGTTTGTGTAAGTTTTGCCCTGTGCACCTGCAAGATGAAGAGAATAAACGGGCACAGTGGTGCATGCCTGTAATATCAGCACTTGGGAGACTGAGGCAGGAGGATCACGAGTTTGAGGTCAGTCTGGGCTACATAGTGAAACTCTGTCTCAAAAACATAAGAAAAGGATGAGGAGGACACACTTAACTGCAGGGAAGTCCTGAGTGGGGAGGGCTGTGGACAGGCAGGCCAGGAGATTCATCTGGAAGCTTCTTTAGAACTGCAAACACACTGTTCTTACTTAGCAAGAGTGTTTCTTAGGGGTGGCTGGGGCTGGTGGAGCTTATGCAACACTGACGCAGCCTCAGCCTCCCTGGAGAAGCATACTGCAGATGCAACGCAGAAAGTTGGGGTGGGCCTCACATCTGAATTTCTAGCCAGCTTTCTAGATGATTCCATTGAGTGACCAGGCTGAGAATCACCAGTGTGGTGGCTGGCATGAAGCTACTCAAGACATGTGAGTTATGTCCCTGTCCCATTCCTGAGTCCAACTTCTGAGTGTGCTCCCCTGTCACATGGGAATAACCTGCCTGCCTCCCCACTGCGGCTGCTGACCAGCTCCAGGAGAATCGGGGCAACCACAGCTGTACAAACAGCAGGAGAAGGTGGCAGTTGCTGTGAGGAGGCCACTGTCACCTGGCCATCCCAGGGATGGTCTGTGGGCCCAGGGGGTCCATCAGGAGCATAATGGGACCAGAGGAGCACCTCATTGCCATCCACACCCTGCCCTGCCCTGGTAGTCCAGCCTCACTCAGCAAAAAAGCCTGAAAAAGGAATTCCCTTCTTGGGAGTGGAGCAGCTTCTAGCAGGATGCAGCTACCACCACATAGTAATCGCCTCCTCACTGGAAGTCCTCCCCACGCTTGAAGTTCAGGGGGACACAGACTCTGTCCAGTCTCAGGAAGCCCAGCAGGCGGGGGAAGGGAAACTCTAACCCTTTCCTAACTCCTCTCGGAGGCAAAGGGTCACAACAGATTCTCCTCCACTCTGCATGCCCTGCATGCTTTATTCCTGCCAGCGTGTTTATAAGCCACAGCCCTTTCCCACACGGTTACCTGGGCAGTCGGCAATCGGCTGAACCTGTTTCCTCCTCTGTAAAATGGAGATGATGGGGCCTTCCTCTTAGTGTGGCTGGAGGGCTGAAGGAGACATGGCATACCAAGCGGTTCTCAGGGCTAACGGAGTGCCTCAAGTGGCAGAGTGTCTGCCTTGCAAGCGTGAGGCCCAGAGTTCAAACCCCAGTACCACGAAAAAAAGAAAAAAAGAAGACACCAAGCGGGTTCTCAAATGGGATGGGGGACAGGGGATGTTGTAAATGCAGCTTCTTCCACCCCGCATGGTGCTGAACCCTTGTAGTCCCAGCACTGGGCAGGATGATGGAGAGTACTAAGCCACAGAGGGAGGCTGTCTCAAAACACCAGCAAAGAAGAAATGCAGCTTCCTAGGCCTTGCGCCTCCTCCCCCACATTCCAATTCTATGGACTCTGAGCCCAAAGTTTGGGCAATGTAGGAGCATGGGTGAGGGCCCTCACCTCTGGCTGTGCAGGCACACCTTTACCTTGCTGTTTAACAACACCCCCTCCTCCCCATGGCTGAGACCACCCCTAGACCTCCAGAATCTGAATCTCAGGGAGTCTCCATGAAGTCAATACCACTTTCCTCCCTTTGAGTCACCTGCTGTCTTTTCTCTGCAAAACCTCCCTTTCCTGTGGGCAGATGGAGCTGGCTAGTTCACTTGGACCAAGGCAACATGGAAGGCATTTTCTCCAGTCTCTACATAGATCCCAAGCTGGCTGCAAGAGCTTCCCTGAGCACTGACAACTTCAGCATTTCAGGGGCATGGGTGAAGGGTGCTGGCTCACCTTCCCCAGTCCCCTGAGGGCTGGAGGAATGGAGGAGGCGGGAGGAGGGCAGGATTTGGGGAGCAGCCACATCCAGAACCTGGCTTAATCCCTCCCTGGAGGGCAGGGCAGGCAGTAGAGGCTGGGAGGGGCTAAGTGCCTAGGTCCCCAACAGTTATTGCCAGCGTGATGGGATTTGAACTCAGTGCTCCCTTGAGACGGCCAACCTCCATTCCTAGCACTCCTGGCCTCCCAGTCACCCATACCCAGTGCTCTGCGCCGCCCCCTACGCCCAATGTGCCCTAGCCTTTAAGGAGAAAGGACCCTAGGCTCAGCATTGGCTGTGGGGACATCCCCTAGGGGACGGTGTGGTAGGAAAGGCGCCACAGCGTGCCCTCGGGGAGCCTTAGGTCTGGGAGGGATAGGGCACACTTTAATCAAAGACCACACAACTCTGTAATTACGGGGTGTGAGTATGTCGAGAAAAACACGTTGACTAGGTGACATTTCAGTCGTGACTTACAGACCGAATGCTGGGCGAGCAATGCAAAGAGTTGGGAGGTGGAGTGCTCCAGGGGTGGGGAGCAGGCTTCCAGCGCGGGTTAGGGCTTGGGGTCTAGCGACCACCCCAGGCCTCAGTTTCTCTGTTTGCCAAGTGTCGAGGCGCTCGAGGTTAGAGAAGGTGAGCCCCTGTTGGCAGGCGGAGCTGAGGCTGGTGCGGTGCTGGGTGGCGGGGCGGGGTGGGGCGGGGCGGGCAGATTACGCCCGCGTGGAGGCCGGGCTGGCGGAGGCCGGGCTGGCGGAGCCCGCGGGCGGGCAGCGCGGCGCGCAGTGCGTGCAGCTGCGGAGCGCGCGGCTTCACGGCCGTGGGCATCACATGAGCAGAGGCACCGGGCCCGACTGCAGCCCGCCCGCGGGCGCCCCAGCAGCCCCGCAGCCCCGCACTCCTGCACTCCTGCCTGGCCCTAACCATGTCTATCTGTTGTTGCTTCTTTTTCAGGGACTATGGCAGTTCCAAGAGAAAATCAGGTAAGGGAGCCTCCGGGCGTTTTTCTGTCCATCCTCCCGGTGCATGCGCCCCTCTGATCCTGCGGAGGACTTTCTGAGGAGCCGTCCTTGGGACTATAGCCGACTGGTCTATAGTCCCAGTCCTGCGGGGCCTGGGGAACTCCAGGTGCCCCCTCCCTGGCTCTTGCGCAGTGAGCTCTCTGGTACTCGCACCTTCGTTCTCCGCCCTCTGGCCTGGATTGGGGCGGGGATCATGGAGAGTGTGGGGAGTCTCGTGAGCGGCATAAGCCCCCCGCAACGTCGGCAGCCCGATCCTTCACCTCGAGCTGCGGTGGTCCCTGCTGGGCACTGTTGTGACTTCTCTGTGGGTCCTTCCCTAGGCGGTGGCGGAAGGGTTAACAGAGACGCAGGGTCGTCCCGGTTACAATGTGAGATCTGTTCTGAAGAGGGGTCGTCCTGGAGTGACTTGACTTTTTAGACCCCCCTCCCCTTCCCCCAACTCTGAGTGTGTGCTCCTTGCTGCAGCGTGGGGGCTCTGCGCGGAGGCAGGTGCAGCGCCTGCCCCGAGTTTCCCAAGCCTGTGGAGAGCGGGAGAGCGAGGTGGGGACAGGTCTTCTCACGCTGTGCGCTATCCCCCGGGAGTGTCTCTCTGGGTGGGAGAGGCTGGGCTCGCAAACTGCAAACGCCTGGGTGTGGGCGGGGTGTAATTGGAGGGAAGGTGGTCCTTAGGAGTTAGGGCTGTGTATACTGGGGTGCGGGGCAGGGACAAACCAGAGAGATCTGTGTTGGCACGTGTGTTGCCAGTACTTGTGGGGTTGCTGCGTCCGTGGGCAGCCATCTGAGGGGTCTGGTTCTTGGGGACTTGGGAAGTGTGGCTCACATTAATGGCTCCTGTGCCCAAGTGCCTTGGGCTGTGGACCAGTGGAGGCTTGTGTGGCTTGCGCGGTGGGTGGGATGAGAATTGGGGTAGATGAAATTGTATGCTGTGGGCTCCTGCATATGGCTTCCTGTGTGTCCTGCGTGCAAGGGCTGGCTTACCTGCTTATTGGGATGGGAAAGTTGTGTGCTGGTGTATTTGTACTCCGTACCTGGAGAGTTGTATGGATGTGTGGCCTTGGTAGCCCAGAGCTGTGAGGGTGTGTACTTGCTTTGGTGTATAGCCTGGGTGTGTGTGCCGGGGTGTTGGGGTGTTATCTGGCTGTGGGCTGAGTCTGTTCAAGTGTGTTTGTATACCTGATTGGGGCGTGTCCAGTTGTGAACTGAGGTGTGTGTATGTGACTGACAGCCAGGCCTGGGTGTCTGGGAACACCCACCCAGTGGGGCAGGAAGACATTTCCTCCTGTGAAAAGGAGGCTGATGAGCCTGAAGGATTGGAGCATGGCCTCTGTTGGCACTCCCAATTAGGGCCCTGGAAGGGGCAAAACTGGGATTGTGTAGCGTCATAATCCCCCCTTCCCCTCCCCTCCAATGATGTTTGTCCTGGGCCACAGGTGGAGTATACTGGTTAATCCTGAGCTCATTCTTCCTCTGTGTGACCTTTGGCAAGTTTCTTAACCCCTCTGTGCTGGTTTCCTCATTCTCTTTAAAACAAAGATGATAGTAGCATCTATCTCTGTGAAAAAAACCAAATAAGTTAATGTGAAATAACCCCTAGCACATAATTAGATAGAAGTGTCATCATCATTATCATTGTAGTCACTTTCTGAAATCTGGGGACCTACTCCGGGCTTCAGTTTCCCCCTGTAAAGGCAAGGGCCCCACCCAGGCTGCCTCCCCCAGAGGAAGCCTCTGCCCTCAGGCCAGGAAAAGGCTGGATGGAGAAATTTAATTTACATTGGTATGTTTATGATAATGGCCACTTAGTATCTCCGTTAGTGCCAGGCTGGAGCCAGGCCGGAGTCTAGAGTCTGCCTTCTTTCCTCCGTGACCTTGGGCAGATTTCTTACCTTCTTTGTACCTTTTTCCTCTTCTGTAAATCAGGGATAATAACTTTTTTTTTTTTTTTGGTGGGACTGGAGTTTGAACTCACGGCTTCATGTTTGCAAAGCAGTCACTCTACTGCTTGAGCCACAACTCCAGTTCATTTTGCTCTGGTTATTTTGGAGATGGGCAAACTATTTGCCTGGGCTGACCTCCCGATCTTAGCCTCCTAAATAGCTAGGATTACAGGCTTGAGCCACTGGCACCTGGCTAAACTTTTTTTTTTTTTTCCAGTGCTAGGGATCAAACTCTACCACTGAGCTATATCCCCAAATCTTTCTTTTTTGGCAGTATTGGGGTCTGGATTCAGGGCTTCACACTTGCTAGGCAAGTGCCCTGCCACTTGTTCCATGCCCCCTTCTCTTTTTGATAACTTTGTATGTCAGCTTGGGTGGGCCATTCCACCCAAATTTTGGTTAAGGCTTACTCTGGGTGTTTTTGTGAAGGGATTTTTGAGATGAGATTTACATTTAAATCAGTAGATTTAAGTAAAACAGATTACCCTTCCTAATGTGAGTGGGCCTCATCCAATCAGTTGAAGGCTTTAACAGAACTGAAGACTGACTTTCCCCAGCAAGAAAGAGTTCTGCCAGCAGCCTGCTTTTGGGCTTGACTGCAGCTCTTTCCCAGGCTCCTGAAAGCCTCCCCCATCAGAGTTTGGACTCCCAAGCCTCCATAGTCACATGAGCCAATTCCTAAAATAAATCTCTTTTTTCTCTCTATATGCACGTCATGTTGGTTCTGTTTCTCTGGAGAATCCTAACTAATAAAACCTATACGGTGCCAATGAAGACTAGATCAATTAACATCTGTCAGCATGCTTAGATCACTGCCTACAACTGGAAAGTGCTCCTGAAGTGCTAGTGTTGTTTTAATGGGCACCTACTATGTGCCAGTAGAGGACTAGCTGCTGCTATTTCATGCACACCTACTGTGTGCTAGGAGCCTTACACATGCTTCCTTATTTGCTGCTCACAGCTGCATTGCATGGTGGGTGATGGGATGCCCATTATACAAATGAGAACCGAGGCTCCTAGGGTCCTGGGCGTAGCATGGAACTGAATCCACGTTTAGGGTTCTGCCAAACCTACAGGCCTCTGCCTACTGTTCCCAGGATCACTCCAGCCAGAGACATTTGCACAGAAAAAAATAGGTACTTTTCCTTGTCTTCATTTTCTACAGTGTAGTCCCAAAGCTTTGGCTCCTCCTTGGAGGATCCTGAAGCAAGCATGGAATTTGGAGTGTTTTATTTGAGACTGGGTTTCACTGTGTTGCCCATGCTGGCCTCCAGCTCCTGGGCACAAGCTATCCTCTTGCCTTAGCCTCTTAAGTAGCTAGGATACAGTCCTGTGCCACGGTATCCTGTTGGAGCTTACAGCACCTGAAATCAGGCTTGGACAGAATGCACTCGACAGAGGAGGAAAGCTGTCAGGTGGACAGAGGAGGCAGGACCAGTGACCTTGGAAACAGCAAGCCAGTGTGGCCTGATTTATTTATCTGTACTTCTTCCCACTATCACACCTTCTTCCAGCATCTTCCCCATCTCAGAAACTGGTACCATCTACCTATTGCTCAAGCCTAATGTCTTGACCTCTCCCTTCCTCTCACCTGCCATCTTGACCTCCAGAGCCCCTACTTGTCCTCACCCAATCCATCACACCTAGTAGAAGAAGCCTAATCTCTGCTTCCACCTTTATCCCGGCAACTGATGTTCTCTATACTACCACTAGGGGGAACTCTTAAAATAGATTTCAGATAATGTACTTTTTTTCTGCTTAAAATACCCAGGGACTCCCCACACCATCCAGATCTCCCTATTCTGGCTTGCAGAGTCCTGTGTGACTTGGCCCCTGCCTGCCTTCCTGACCTGGGTCCACCTGCTAGCACTCCCTAACACACATTCCTGCAGTTTACTCAAGACACATGGTCACCCTCTGGTCATTAAACACATCAGGCTCATTCTTTGGTGTGGCCTTGTACTTGCTGTTCCCTCTGCCAGGAACGATCTTCCTTGATCTATCCCATGGCTGGCTCCTTCTTAAGATTTCTGCCTACATGCAGTGCCACATGAGGCGGGGCACTGTTTTCGGGGCTGTGTGTAAATCAGGGGTTGCCCGGCCGGGTTGCTGTGACAAGGGCATCGTGTCAGATGATGAGGACAATTTCAGTGGTGATGACTTTGGTGATACAGAAGAGAATGAAGGAGCCAGTGACTTAGAGAATGCCGAGAAGGATGTGGGACCCCATGATGGTGGAGCTAGAGGGGGAGATGGATCCTTTGCTCATCAAGGAACTCAAGGCCAGAAAGATCCTCATCACCAATCACCACTACCTGCCACATGGGTGCTCTGGAGACCCGAAGGTGGATGAGCTCATCATCACTGACTCAGTTGGAGTATCTTCCTGATCATGCCCCAGTTTGGTGCTCGCTTTATTATTTGCAAATAATAAACTGTTGGACCTTTCGATCTCCCCTCAAAAAAGATTTCTCCCTGTTGCTTTCTCAGAGAAACCCCAGTGCTCCACTACCTGGCTACCCTCCCAAAGAATCTCCGTCCTCTCCATCACTGACCACCTCTAGTTCTCTGTGCATTTTTTTTTCTTAGTGTCCATCTCCCTGCTCCCTTAGGAGCAAAGTCCTTGGCTGCAGGATTCACACCAGTACCAGGTCCCTTCTCTTTTGTGGGTGGTTGGATGGCAGAATGCATGCATGCCTGAGTGAACCGTGAGGGGGTTAGGAAAGATGGGTCTGTGGTCTCAAACTGGGGGACATTGTCTGGAAGGAGAAGTTTTTCTGATTTGGAGAGCTGGGAGTTTTGGTAATCCAGAGAGTGCATTCATAAAGATGGGTGAGCAAGGCTAAGCACGGATGGTTTGGGAACCAGATGCTCGGACTGACCATATGAGCTCCAGCTGTATGCAAGGTACTGTGCAAGGTACTGGGTTACAGGAATGTGTTTTCTCTCCAGGACTTTGCAGTCTGCTGTGGGTGGTGAACCATATACATGACAGGGAGGGAAGGAAGTGACGGAGTGACATGC